TCGCCATATTTTGGAGTGAAGTCTTTCCATCCAAATTGCAGTGAAAGGGGGCGAAAAATCACCAGTTTTTCGACCGATTTGGCGCTGAGTGCCGTTTAAAACGCTAAATAAAGCCTTAAAACGTTTACAAATATGAAATTTATGAGTAAAATATAGTGTACTCACCCGTACTCATGTACTCATGTGTACATCAGAACGCCGAGTGATTCACCCCTCGGGTGAATCCGCCTTGAAGGTAGGCAACAAGTACTATAGCTCCTTGCCCGAAGGCAGGCAACTTTTGCGACATCGCCGCCCTTGCGGCACGCTGAGGCAGCCGAGCCGAGCTGCAGACTGATTCCGTGGAGGGTTTTCCGTCTCTCTCGCACGCAGAGGGAGTTCCCCAACGGTGCGAGGGAGACAGAGAGCCCGCTCGGAGTGAGACTCCTGAAGGGCGGCGCGGATTGGCCGCTGGCCGCTCGCTTTGCACAACAGCCCCGCCGTCTCCTGATTTAACGGCCGATTTTGACGAGGCACAAATGAAGCCTCCCGCGCCAGACACCAGCCCGCACTCCGAACGGCGTCCTCTCGCTCCGTCTCTCTCAGACGCTCCTATGGCCGCGAGAGAGACAGAGTGGGCCGCTCGGAGTCGGGCTGCAGGCCGGCCGGCCTAGACAGCACTGCAAACTGAATGGAAAGACATTACGCCAAAATGTGGCGAGACAAAAAGTCTCGCCACATTTTGGCGATACTTTCATGTCTCGCCACAATATGGTCAGATTCAAATGTCTCGCCAATTTATGGCGAGACTTTTTTGTCTCGCCAAAATATGGCCCAAAATTATTTAAATAGGGTAGGCAATGCATGGATTCATAGCAAAATACATAAACTACTGCATTATTCACAAAATTCACGAGAAATCATTTCTGATCACCACTGATAGTTGTTTGACCCACTGGGGACTCTCAAGAGTAACGCTGTTTGTTTCGCTCATAAACCAAGAGGTGCGTCTTCACATAACAGGGCCGCTCACATTCAGTTTCATTGAAATCAGATTGTACTCACAATAATCACAGTAGCACTGTGGCTATGAAGAAATTTGCAGGCAGGTTGAGAGTTGATTCATCCAATAAAGATTGTCTACAAACATGTAGCTTTGAGTACTGTACAACTTAGCCCAGAGAACAGATGGTGCAGACTGTTGATGAACTTAACATTTTGACAGTTCTCCTTTTCCACACGCAGTTTGACAATAGCTCGAACGATAAAAAGACATCTTCGCGAACAGATAACCCAGTTGGCAACAGTCGTCATCGCTCCAAACTAGAAAAAACTTAATTTTATAGAGCAGGAGCACATCGAGACAAATGAAGGTTCACTGGGGATCAAATGAGCGGGAACATTCAAATGCTCCCTTTTTTGTAAGGCATGGCGTTTAATGCTGAAAGAAGTTAAATGTTGCAAAGATGCCTAGAAGGCATTTGTGCGCATCGAAGCACGCATAGAAGTTGCTGCAGAGTGTTAAGATTGCCTCATGAAACTTTGGCCTTAATGAAAGTAGGATCCCCAGCGATAGCGCCTGCTGGGTAGGCAACAAGCAGTACACAAGCGTCCATAACCTCCAACTGCATAGCTTTTATTTGTTTCACGAGATGAAGTCCTAAAATTTTCAATGAATCCATGTTCCTGTAAGGCACGAATGCCAATAAATTCGTGGCGAGTCATAACCTCCGCTTAAATGGTAGATATATGGTAGAAAAGAAGTCGAAATTCAAGCTTCCCGCGAGATTGATCCCCAGTGAGTAAAGAACGTTCTGGGTCCCATCACCGCTACTGACTTCCCAGATCGCATCTGCTCCTGCTCTATTGATGCAATGTCGGGAGGAAAACATGATAACCAGCGGCCATTTCCTCAGGTTACTTTTGTTTACGAGATGTGAGGATGTGACTGCGAATACTGGTTTGGTCATGCGTATAATTTCCCAACCCGAATCTGAATCTAAATCGTCACGCCCATAACTGCCCATAACCTCTTCTGTCCAAAAACAAAAACATAGCCTCTAAAATGGCTGCCAGCCTCTGAGCGATTGTTTGACTTGCAACGATATAATTTAGTTTTTCCTAGTTTCGAGCAATGACGACTGTTGCCAACTGGGTTATCTGTTTGCGAAGATGTCTTTTTATCGTTCGAGCTATTGTCAAACTGCGTGTGGAAAAGGATAATTGTCAAAATGTTTAGTTCATCAACAGTCTACACCATCTGTGCTCTGGACCAAGTTGTACAGTACTCACAGCTACATGTTTGTACACAATCTTTATTGGATGAATCAACTCTCAACCTGCCTGCAAATTTCTTCATAGCCACAGTGCTACTGTGATTATTGTGAGTACAATCTGATTTCAATGAAACTGAATGTGAGCGGCCCTGTTATGTGAAGACGCACCTCTTGGTTTATGAGCGAAACAAACAGCGTTACTCTTGAGAGTCCCCAGTGGGTCAAACAACTATCAGTGGTGATCAGAAATGTTTTCTTATGAATTTTGTGAATAATGCAGTAGTTTATCTATTTTGCCATGAATCCATGCATTGCCTACCCTATTCAATAATTTTGGGTCATATTTTGGCGAGACAAAAAAGTCTCGCCATAAATTGGCGAGACATTTGAATCTGACCATATTGTGGCGAGACATGAAAGTATCGCCAAAATGTGGCGAGACTTTTTGTCTCGCCTCTCCAGAGGCGTAAAGTCTGACCTTTGGATTTGTAGTGAGCAATGGGTACTCGCCCCCTGCGCGCCGAACTCGGCCATAACTCGGCGACTTAACGCCGCACCGTAACGGTGCAGGGCAGGGCCATGGCAGTGCAGTGCCACGTCGCTTCTTTCTTACAGAGTCGCTAGCGAGCTCGCCGCCGCGGTTGCGTCATTCGGCGCTAGAGCAAAATAGTTTATTTTCCTTTTTATTGACAAAAGACACGATCGTTGTCGTTGCCGCCGCGTTTCATATTTTCCCGCCGCCGCCGCCTGCCGCGCGATGATGCCCGACCGGCTCGGCTCGCCACGGCCCGGCTCGGCGTTCAGCGGCCGCTAGCCCAGCGGCTCCGTGCGCGCCGCGCGCCCAGTCTGGCGCGCTAGGGGGACCCCTTGTGCGGACCCCGGCCTTCACTGGCAGAAGCATCGGTGGTTCAGTGGTAGAATGCTCGCCTGCCACGCGGGCGGCCCGGGTTCGATTCCCGGCCGATGCATCTTTTAGTTAGCGAGCAGAACAATGCTAGACGATCATCGCCTTGGAACGTCAAGGGTGCACCGTGGGTCGCTCACAGCCGTTCCGAAGCCTCCGTGGCGCAATGGTTAGCGCGTTCGGCTGTTAACCGAAAGGTTGGTGGTTCGACCCCACCCGGGGGCGGCTAATTTTTGGCTAAACTCCCTCCATCCCATTTTTAAACCAACGCCCCTCTTCGCTTATAAACCAGTAAGTGTCATGTCCCATCCAATTCGATTAGATTTAATTTTTAATTTCCCACTGCCTGCTGTTCGGCCTCTCACCCACTCGACCCGCCGCTCTAATCGACTTTACAGTCCCAGACGAGACTCAAAAGCCTATTACTCGATAATTACGCTCCAATTTATTGGACTTAATAATATGCAGACCGCAGACGATGGCTCGGCGGGGGTGATCGGGGTCGCGTTAAGATGTGGTCGCAGGGCACGCCCCTCTTCCTCCCCCCCCCCCTCTTTTCTCTCTCTCTCTCTCTCTCTTTCTCACACACACACTCTCGCTCTCGGACACACTCACACACACCACCATGCCGGCCGTCAGACTTAGTGCCAAAAACTTGGCAGCATTTCACGCGCCGAGGTGGTCCTGGGCGGCATGCAGTCAGACTGACTCGCGTGTGAACCGGGCGAGAGGCTTTTGCTTAGCCGCCACGCGGATCGGAAGGAGTGCCGTTGGAAAGTGGTCCTTGCGTTTTAGCCCCCCCCCCCCCTTTTTCGCGGCTCCTCGTTTCGACCGACAAAGCCTCTTCATCACACCGTCGCTCGCTTCCGCCTGAACTCCTGCAGGCTGGCTGATCCCGCACACTGCTTTCGTCGCTCTCTCTCTCTCTCTTTTGTGAGAGCGGTACTGACGCTCGTGGGACTCCCCAGTCTCGTTGTCAAGTACCTAAAATAAATAAATCAAATCAAATCAATCTCTCTCTCTCTCTCTCGCCCCCGTGAGGCGATCCGCTGCGGTGCGACGGAGACAGCGGACAGTGCTACAGGGCAGTGCTCTTCGGAATGGACCTACCGGCCGCCCGTTGCAGCGCGCCCAGCCGGACCGGCCATGAGCGCAGCAACCAGGCAGCAGGCAGGCAGCGCCGTGATGAGCGTGAAGCGTTGGGAATGATTCGAGCACACAGCATGCCCACTTCGTCCCACTTCGGCCAAGCCGCGCGGTTTTCGTTTAATTTCGGCGCGGAAGGACGGACGGACGGGCATAACACTCTCGGCTCGGCGGACCCATCGGAGTGACTCTCGGCGGCAGGTGCTCCCGGCCGCGCCCATGCCGCCCTGTAATCAAGTCGCACTCGGACACGCGTGGCGAAACGCATGTCCACTCTCGCGACGAACAGACGGAGAGGCATGCAAGCGCACGGACTGAAGACGGACGGACAGAAGGCCTGCAAGCGCACGGACTGCACTGGGGACTCCTGGCTGGTGATACTGGAGTCGTGCTGAAAGGGTTCCCGAGGAGAAAGAATAAGCACATACTAACGGGATGGCCCGCGACGGCGGCGCACCGCCCCGCCATCTGATGTACCGCCCGGCCCTGCGCCCGGACGTGAGGGAACAGCACATTCCCCTAATAACATTACCCAGCGGTTTTGGTACCTGAGCCAGGATTGCTACGTTTCTGTGCCCAGGCGCCTGCACGTGTGGTCGGCGTGGTGCAGCGATGGCCATCGCGGTCTCGACTTGGGAGGCTGTAGTCGCGGAGCAAAGTGACTTTGGTTGACAAAAACCAGACTTATGCTCGTCTCATTTCACAGTGAAAATTTGGTTTTATTAATACAGCAGGGAGCACAGCAAAATTTAAAGACTGGCTGCAGTTTACCTACAATAGGTACTGTACACCAGCAGGATTCGCAGTAGGACTGAGCAGAACTTCAGATTGACAGGCACATGCAGCAAAATTGCCACAAGAACCATGCATCCTAGAGCTAGTCAGATAACTACAGCCGACTACAGCTGACTATTGCTAGAACCACGGAACCACGACCGATTATATTCTTCGTAATTAATGAAACCGTCTTTGTTTATGTCCATGTCCTGGAATTCACGTTGTTGATTCTGCTCCAATTTTTCCCACTTTTCTCGCACAGAAGATTCGGGTATTCCTTGAATGCACATTCTACCTACCTCTTTCTGATAAAGTGACCTAAGTAAGGCTTTAAATTCATTGAGGTCCACCAGACTATTTCCATCGAGATCTAATTTGGAGAAAACATCCAGATTACCTCAAAGAATGTAACTAAGTGACTGACAGTTATAAAACACATTTTTCTTACCGTGCTGAGAAAAGATAGATTTAGGTTCCGATTCTTCTTTTAAAGATTTTAAGACTTTTCTTTGCTTGTTTCGTATTTCATTCCTATCGCTCATGGCCTTTTCAATAGAAAACGAGATTTAAAAAAAAGAGTTCTTATGATGAAACGACAAATATGAATGTACCCACCTTAACAATGAGTCTTTTTAAGTCCTCTTCTTCAAAAGTATCTGGATTTGCGTAATCAATGTGGTCTGTAGAAGCATTGTTGTTTTGAAGGCGGCTCATTTCTGTTTTCTTAATTTCATTCAGACGTGTTCGAACGGAGGGGCTAAGAATCTTCACAACGTGGGCAATTTTACCAGACTGAAATAATGTATAAGAACACTGGTTCAACTTGGAGTCTTATTAAGAAACATGAGTTATGACAAGAGATTACCTCTACATCTGTCCGGTTAGCTTTCCCCATGGTATCTAGGAATGTTGGATCGCTATTCAAATCTTGAAACACCTTTTCAAAGTAAGGATTGTAGTCAGGTGGCTGCGGCATGCGCTGTAGGTCCAATTCAGAGACGATTTAGTAAAGAAAACAATAATTTAGAGCCAAACTTAAAGTAGGGGGTACAAACCAAACCATGGCACAATTTATCTTTTTGTTCTGCATTGCTTTCTGAAGTTTCAGTGACTGGATAAGCCACAATCCCACTCAACGCCAGTAAACAAATAACGACAAAACTCATTTTATTAATGGCCTGCAACAGTGAGGAGCACAAATTCAAACAGTGTGACAAATATGTCGATGGTTGGTTTCAATTTTATCTATGACGGAACTTACTTCGTGGTAGCAGCCAGACCGACAAACCTTCCTCAACACTCGACTGGCGACTGATGGCCGCCCGAGAAAATGACGCCCTCCTCTCATGACTCCTATCAACTCCTCAGCCGCGCTGCTGTCTGGGGTGGCGCAGGGCAAATAAAACAATCGACTTCATAGCAGATAAGTCGAAAGATTGTCTCGAAATACCCCTTCAGCGCGGAAGAATGTGACTTGATTTTTGATGAGCTCGAAGGCCGCATGGACATCGCATTGCCGAACGAAACCATGGCTCTGTGGAAGCCCCCGTACTCCTCATGTTTTCCTCTGCCGAACTAATTACATACCCCATTTTCACTATTTTCTGTGTCAAAGTTTGCGGAATGTTTTGCAGTGTTAAAAAACTGTCCCAACATAGCAGCCGAATAAACCAGACGGCTGTGAGTGCCGCGCGTGCCGCTGCCATCGAACCGATCCGGCCAGGCGTCGCGTTTTCGAGGTGCACTTGTCCTGATGGGGCCGAGGTAGTCCGAGGCAGGGCGCTGAGTCGTCATAAGGCAGTGCAGTGCGCCGTGCGACCGCCGTACAAGGAGACGGTGCAGGCTTGCAGGCGCAGCACTGACAGAGCTACACTGTCAAAAGAGAGACCGTCGAAATTGTCCGCTACTAGGTGGGGATATTCGGAAGTCCTTTGGACTGGGAATCCTGGGAATACAGCAGGTGCCGGCGACTGGGCCTGGAGGGTCGAAGGGTGGCCGGAGGGTGGCCAAACAGGGTGGACGAGGGCCTCTTGGGGCCTAACAAGGGAACGCCAGATTATCCCTCGATACTTCGGGATTTCGAAGACTTCTGCGGTGGGAATGTATCGGCACTTTGTGCTCCATTACGTCAAGGGCGATTGCCAAAGTTTACAAAACATTGACCAAAAACGATTTTGACAAAAATTACCTAATGCTCATCTTGCTCACTGATTCGCCATGCCTGGTGGATTATAGTGAAGCCAGGTTACAGTAACCCCTCCCCCTATTTTTACACTGTGTGTGTGTGTGTGTGTGTGGCGCGAGTTACCCATACCAGTGTACCGGTGGTCCAGGAGGTGACGCATGCAAAGGCGCATGCCTCTTTCCTTTTTCCGCGGCCCTTCCTTTCCTTTCCCCCTTTTGCGTTTCGTTGTCGGTTGTCCGGCCGGCTGCTCGGAGGCGTTCGGCCGTTCGGCCCCCGCTCCGCTTACTGTCTTCTCGAATTGGCAACACTGCAATGGCAGCCCTGCAGACAGGACGGGGCAGGGCAGCGTTTTTAGCGCCGATCCGACGGGAGGGAGGGCCAGCCTGTCAGCCCTATAAGGAGTCTCGCTTCCAGTGTGCTTGCAGCAAGTTGTGCTTCCAGAAAGCGTCGAGGGCAGTACCCTTTGCTCTGGCCTGGCCGGCCGGCCAGTCGGACCACTATTTGCAGTCGTACACACGCACGCTCGGTGCAGTGCAAACAGCACGTGCATTAATACGCGCCGTTTCTCTCGTTTGGACCTGCGAGGATGTTGTCCCAGTGGAGGGCGTTTCGCCTAACGCTATTCGCAGGTTGCGTGTCAACGGGTCGCTAAATAACCGCAACATTCTGAGTCCATCGCGATGCGCGGGGTCTCGCCGCTTGTGAGTGATACGCCACGCGAGGGGGCTCTGGGTGGCTCTGGGGCGCGGAGTAGCGACGCCCCAGCGGGGTGGGAGGGGAGGGGGGTGGTGCGTACAGTCCCGAAAGGGAGCACAGCACCGTGACTGTCGTCAGATTTTATTTCGATATCCATCACCCCGCGCCCACATCCTCTCCCTCACTGGCCATGCGGGCGTAAGAGGCACGCCGAGCCATGATTGTTTCAAAAGACGCAATCCGGCATGCCATCTTTGCAATCTTCGCAATCACGCTTGCAATCGGCATTCGCATCTTCTGCACTACGTGGCGGGCCGACCGAAAAGGCGTGCGGTAATCGAAAAGCCGCAGGATGCTGCCCAACCCCCCGTGTTGCCGATGTGTAGCCCTCTGGACGAGCCCGACGCACTCACACGCACGCAAACGCGTTACGCGCGCTCACACACACGCATCGGCAGGGATTCACGCACACATAGCAAACACCCCGGTTTGGGCGCAGGCAGGGTGCCGGGGGGCGCTTAGCGGTGTAGGTAAACTGGAGTGTTTTGTGCGCCGAGCCTTTTGCTGATGTCTGAGTCATTATGTTTTCTGCTGAAGGTGAATGATACGTGGGACCGCTGCCCCTTCCCCCTCCCCACCTGCCCTCTCTCGAGTCGGTCAGCTTTGTGTCTGAGGCGGGCGGTTCGGTTCCCATTCAGAAAGCGTCGGTGCCTCTCGCAGTGCGATCCGTGCGGATCCGTGTGCGATCCAGGGAGTCCGAGCCGAGTCCAAGCCGAGTCCAGGGATGCGGGAGGCACGCCAGCCTGTGATTCCAGTGTCTGTAGCTCTGCTGCGGCCACCGGACACACACGGTGCTGTTGCCCACTGTTGCCACCCTGCCGGCGGCAGTGCGGCGGTTGGAGGTTGGCGACCCGGAAACCGAGGGGCGTCACTCTGTAAAACGGCACTCTCAGAAAGGTTGTTGCTTCGAACACCGATCGGAAAGAAAAAACTAAAGCTAAGTCTGCTGAGTCACCGAAGGTTGATCAAGTCCTGTTTGATATTTTTCTTCTTTTAATTTTTGCAGTCAGCAGACAAGAGTCGGAGGCTTAGGTATACTGATAACGATCACACACCCCCATCCGCCTATAGAGTTACATCATTTTTCACACCTCCACCTGTGCGTCTGGGAGATGTGATAGAGGCGGTGAGGCTTCACACCAAGAAAAAGAAAGAAGTCAGGAGAGGTGTTGCCTTTGTAAGGCTTTCCAGGGTAAATAAATGCATGTTCCGAGGAGGGGAGTGAAATTGGCACATGCGGTGCGCCCGCGGCGTGCATTTTCAATCAGACACTGGCGTCATCGACTCGAAATGTGGAATCGCTTCTCTTGTTTTCGGAGGGTAATGCTAGGGTTATGTGAAGAAATCGTTGCACAGCTGAAGCTTCCAAAAGGAATAAGAAAATGCATGGAACCTTGAAAGCAAAGTTCTTCGGACTAACAAGAGGGAAGTGCTCCAATATTTTGTTTCTTTAGTGCTTATCCCGCAATATTGTCCTTATTAGACGTCGCACTGTGATTGTATGTCCTATTTACACCACATCTCCTGACAGCACACAAACTTAAAATCCTTGAAATAAACGAGGACATTTTTACGAAAGGGTTCCTCTCTGGTCTGAACTACCAGCCAAGGTCCCCTAACCACGTCATTATCCTGTCTGCATGGGGTGTGGATGGGGAAATAAGAGATAGACAGCAGCAGAGGGAGTGGAAGGGGGGGAGAGAGAGAGGAGCCAGCGTCGAATCACGACGTGGATATCACCGCCGTGAGATATTCTTCACATCCCTCCCACAGCAGTAAAGCTATGTGATCAATATAACTGGGTATCTCACCTGCATCTGTGTGCATGTGAGTGTGTACTGTAAGCACCAGAACAGCGGGTGTCTATGCCGTCTGTGCTTCGGACAGTCTACACTCTCATTCAGGGGTGTTCTAAAACTTGACGCCTTTAGTCGCTTGCCTTAGGTTTTGTACCACCTTGAGTCGCCTCACCACGTAACGCCAAAAGGCGCCTCAAAACAAAGCGCCTAAGGCGCTCTCTTTTGAAACACCTTGGGCTCAAACCACTGCATGAGATAGCAATGCATGGCTGCTTAGGCTCACTTGCAAAGGTGCGTCCCATGTAAACACCTTTCACTTTGATTTTACTAGTGGGGGTGCGCCCAGGCCAAACACCCCTGCTGCACTATGGATGCAGCGCAAGGTGTATGCTGGCCATACACCTTGCGCTTTCTTTGCATGGCAGTGGACAAGGTGCGTGGAGTCTAAACACCTTCAGCCTAGGCTGAAAAAAGCGCAAAGGTGTGTGGTCTGCAAACACCTTTATGACCTACCGCACCCCCACTAGTAAAATCAAAGTGAAAGGTGTTTACATGGGACGCACCTTTGCAAGTGAGCCTAAGCAGCCATGCATTGCTATCTCATGCAGTGGTTTGAGCCCAAGGTGTTTCAAAAGAGAGCGCCTTAGGCGCTTTGTTTTGAGGCGCCTTTTGGCGTTACGTGGTGAGGCGACTCAAGGTGGTACAAAACCTAAGGCAAGCGACTAAAGGCGTCAAGTTTTAGAACACCCCTGAATGAGAGTGTATGCACGCCTTTCCAGTGGCGTTGTGTTTTAGCTGCGGTCAGTTCCTAATTCGAGTCGGACGGCGCGGTAGCCGAAAGGCTGGCCAGCCGCGGTCACGCGGTCTGTGGCGGTCGCTTTCCCCGCCACGCTTTTCCGGGCGGTCCTAGCGCCTCTGCCGGGCCCTTCCCTCGGCCCTTCCATTACGGTGGGCCGTTGCTCCCTTTAACCTCATCATCTCCGTCCGTCCGTCTATTTATTGAAATAAGGGCTGGCCGGCCCAACACCTGTTATAAAGGTACGGCTGTAGGGAAGGTACGGACGGGCACTCCGGTGTGATCTGCCCCCAGCATCCTCCCGAGCCGACTGCGGACAGACGGACGGACGGACGGACAGACAGACAGACGGACGGACGGACGGACGGACGGACAGAGCAGGCGCATAATGAAGGTCCGTCGCGTCTTTTCCTTTGTTTGCTCTGCAGGTCGTAGAGAAGACCCAGTTTTCGGCTCGATTAAGCCAAATAACGCCCCTCATTTCCGCCGTGTCGCCTCTTCTTCTTCTTCTTCTTCTTCTTCTTCTTCTTCTTCTTCTTCTTCTTCTTCTTCTTCTTCTTCTTCTTCTTCTTCCTCTTTTCCCCCCCTGTGCGTGTTTCCTCTCCGGCGTCGCGAATTCAAAATAATGCCGCTGATTCGTATGCAGCGTTTCCGGTCCATGTTTGCGTGAGTACGTTGCGTTTGGAGCGGCACGCCGGGTGACGTCGGGACGCCGGGATCCACCCAACCAATAACCTGCCCGAGATTATTCCACACACACACACACACACACACACACACACACACACACACACACACACACACACACACACCAAGGAGATGTGCTTCTTGTTCACGTAAAAGCCGATGTTACGATGTGCCCCCTCAGGAGGCGCCTTTCTGTCATTCCGCAGAGAAATGACCAGAGAGAGAGAGAGAGAGAGAGAGAGAGAGAGAGAGAGAGAGAGAGGGAGAGAGAGAGATGGATTGAGGATGGCTACAAAGCGTCCGCGATTGTCGATTGTTCGTTCCATTTTTATTTGATTCAGTTCGGCAATCGGTTTGATTTGTTTTTATTCTTTCGACCAAGAGGACGTCGATGAGTGCAAGCGAGCCGAGCCGCAGGCCGCTGTGAAGCTGCGGCGATGCGCGCTGCCGATATCCGTCACTCTCGGCGGACCGGGCGACATGTTTACACGGCATTGTATGGAAATGCTGGAAACGCGTCGCGAAGTGCGGCAAGTCGAGGCCTGGAATGATCCGGGCGAGTTTTGAGGCGGTCAGGAATCGAACTTGCGCAGGACCCGTCGCCGCGGCACCTCACCTTGTCGCTCCGTCTCTCTCGCACCCCTGCGGCACGGCCCACCAGTGCGAGAGGGACGGAGCGTGTATGATGGCCGGGATGCCTCGGACGATGACTTGATCAGCTGGCCGGCCGATGCAAAGCAATGCAAAGCAGGTGGCCCCTCACGGCGGCTGGCTACCTGTCGCTCGCATAACTCTCCCGAAATTCAATCGCGCCTCGGACCCTTTTTTCCGAAAGAAACTCGCCCCTTGTTCATGGCCTTGGCTCCTCGGGGCTTGGCTCGGGCGCGGAGTCCCCTGGTATCATTTCCATGGCCGTTGAGAGCGGACGGATGCTTTGTGTCGTACAGGTGTCGAAGGGGTCTCGTCGGCGTCCGCGTTTTGACTTCGGGCTCCGTTTGGTGAGTCAGCCGCCGTCAGCCGTAGAGCTCTTTGCAGCCCTGTCTCTCTCGCACCCTGATTGATAGCCGCATGAGTGCGACAGAGGCAGGGCGACGAAACGGCTCCCTGTGTTGGGACACGCCGCCGTCGCGTCAAATGGCACCCCGGCGGGACGCGGCTTCGCGCAGCTTCCGTGCCGCCACGCTGCGGCGTCTGCTGTTTTCGCCGACTGCGAAAATGTTGACGAAGGCCGAGGCTGACGTCTTGGCCAAAGTCTTGCCAAAGTATCCGAACAGCGCGGTGCTCGGTCTGAATAACGTGACATGACAAGTCGAGTCGCATTGCACGAATTTCTCTGTTCTGCGCTCAGAAAGTCTCATGGTGAAGATTCTCCGTGGTGGTACAGTGGACTTTGTAACCTACTTCTGAAAATTATTACTGTACCCGATAGATATTTTGTCAAATTTCTTTCGTATCATTGGAGGAAATCTCCACCGTGTCGGTTCAGCTTTTCACCGCAAGACACACAGTGTGCCTTCGTCGTCTCGACGGCGGCGAGCGGGACATCGGCGGAGGAGGACATGTAGTAATTGGAGCAGATAAGTCCCTCTTTCTGCGAGGCGAGGATGCCGGCGGGGACGCCACACAGGGTGTCTTCCCAGAAGGCGGCCGTTCCCCGAAGTGCGAGCCGAGAGCCGAGGCCGGCCACATCCGGCGAGGGACTCATCAACGGGAAGCTTACCGGCCCATTATGGGCGGAGTCGCGGTGGCCGCGCGGGCCGAAATCCGGCGCCTCGGCACTGAGCTGCGGGTTCGACTCCCGATCAAGCACTCGCCGACAAAATTACAGATCTCTAAACAGTCACCAGGGAAGGATGGGCCCCGAACAGCTTGTCATCCGGCCAGTCTGGGGTGTTGGTTTGTAATACGAAGCAAATGGGAAATTTAGTGTGTATTTCACCTCTTCCAACCTGTGCCACTTGCTTTCCGGACGGTCCCCGTGGCGCCCTGCCGCCGTGCTGCTGACACGAGAAAGGCCCGGGAAACTGGGCGGCGGGTCTTCTGTGTCTCTGCTGTTGCTGCGCTGAGCGCCGCTCTGCAGACTGACTCCGGACGGCGTCTCGTCGCTCTGTCTCTCTCGCGCCCGTGCGGGACGCCCGGCAGTGCGAGCGAGACAGAGCGACCACAGCGACACGGCCTTACCGCGAACTGGCGGACCGGGGCGGACGGCGGCCCGCATTTGCATCACACTGAGAGACGGAGAGCACCGCACGTTTCTGCACACGTTGGCCCGACGGAAGCCGCGGAAGAAAGCGGAGTGGAGCGGGTCGCTCCGTCTCTCTCGCACGCCCCGGGGCGGCCGGGACGCCCCACGAGTGCGACAGAGACGGGTGGGCGCCGAAAGCGCCGTTCGGAAGCTGGCTGGCTGCTGGTGGAGCGCGACGACGCGACGCTCTGCGAGGTGGCGGTGGTGGCAGCGACGCTGCACCATTTCCTCCGGGAAACGACACTGCAAAAACGGCAAGTTCGAAGGCCGGGGGCGCCTAGCAGGCTTTGCGGCCGGAGCGCCAGATACCAAGAGAAAAGAGAGGGGGGGGGGATTAGGCCCTCTACCCAAAAGGTAAGCTGAGGTACCAAGTCGCATTTTCCCCCGCTGGCAGGTGACTTTCTGCGACCTCCCCCCCCCCTTTGAATGGGTCTCTGGATCCGCCCTACGCCGTGTCCATTTGAGGCGCGAGGCTGGCCGTCTGGAAGTCTGGACTGCTGGCTGGAAGCGCTGGGATGCAGCCTTAATCTAGCCCCCCAGCCCCATCCCCGGACCTCGCCGGGCCCCGGGCCTCGTCGTTCGAAAAGAGGAGGAGCCGGGCCCGCGCTGTCTCTCTCGCTCCGAGGGCCAGCGCTGCGGCGGAGGGCGCGCCGTCCCCACAGGTGCGAGGCCCCACGGGGGGCGTGCGAGTCGAGCGAGGGGGCCGCCGGCGTCTGACCGCCCCGGACGCGGTCCAGTCCGTCGGCGGGCAGAGGCTGGCCGAGGCCGGCAGAGGCCGGCAGAGAGTGCACGATGAGGCTGGAGGCCCCCAAGGGCCCAGGGGCGAAGGGCCTGGCCCTCGGCCTGGCCGGCCGCAGCGAGGCCTGAGGACGCCTCAGGCCCTAAACCAGGCCGTACTTCACAGATAGCATCACCGTCAGCCCCGCGCTGCCCCGCGCTGCCCCGCGGCGTAACAGTGTTTCTTTACGGCAGAGATCGCACCGTGCGGCGGAGCACTGGCCGTGCCCGCCGTGCCACTGGCCGAGCCACTGCCCGCAGCGGCCGCAGTGCCCCCGAAACCCAGGTGCGGGTTCAGCCGCCTGAAAGGCACGCAAAATGCAACCGGCTGAAAGACTCTTCGCCCGGCAGAGCCGGTGTGGTGGTCAAACCCTGAAGGGCCCCTGTAAGGGCACCTTCTCATGGATCCGGCTGATCCGGCCGCCGAGGGTTCGAATCCCCCTCCCCTGCCCCTAAAATTAAATTACTCTATCGTCCACTTCCAGAGGTGCCGTCCTAAAACTCTTTGTTTCGTTCGTTGGACTGCGGCCCCCCGTCGGACGGTGAGGCTGGCTGGCAAGGGCAAGGAGGGTTCCTTCTGGTCCTCCGTGCTACGCGTTTGTGGACGACCCCGCCCCAGTCCGCTAATGCAGTCCCCAGCACACACACAGACACAGACACACACACACACACACACACTCACACACAAGAGGCAACACAAACACACTGGCACACAGACGGGCGTTTCGGTAACACAAAGCGCTGCTGGCCTAGGACCTGTTGCAGGGTGTGCTGCATGTGCTCCAGCTGCCGCTGCAGCGTGATGTGTGTGTGTGTGTGTGTGTGTGTGTTTGTGTGTGTGTGTGTGTGTGTGTGTGTGCACTTGGCTTACAGACTTGACTCGGCGGCCGGGGGAGGGGGACGGGGCGGGGGCCCCTGTGCTGGCTGCCTGCGGGCGGGGCGGCTTGCTCGGGCGGGCTGCCGAGTCGGGCTGGCTGGCTGCTGGCTGGCTGGCTGTCAGCAGTCAGTTGGACGCCGGCCGCCGTCGAGGCAGCATGTCATGTCCTTGGCGCGCTGCTCTGGCTCCCCGCGCGCGCACGGTCCGCACGTCCTCGGCCACGTGTGTGTGAGTGTGTGTGTGTGCATCCTTATAGTTCCTGGAGGAGCATTCCATGGTGAGGATCGGGTGTTCGCATTCCAAAGTGTAAATTGGCATGAGCGGCGCGAGTGATTTGTGAGTGATAGCGAAGACTGGATACACTTACCACCGCACCAAGCATGAGCCGCCAGAGCCAGCATATCCTGTCCAGATCGGGCAGCGGAGTCAGCCTCAACATTCTAGGTGAGTGGCTGCGAGTGCCGGCTAGAGCTGGACCTAGGCCTCCGCGGCGTCCGTTAGCCTTCTCCGGACCGTCGACTTGCGTCGACTTTGTCAACCGCTGCGCGCTGCGGGCTGGTTTATGGGAATGGCCCAAGACCGGTGCGGGACGCTGCCTGGCTTGTCCGAGCGGGCCGAGTGTGACGGACGCGGTATCGGAACGACAACGACGCCGCCGGGTGAACACCGGACTCTAAAAGCCCCACAGTGAAGGTTCTCCGCATTATGGTGAAAACTACGTATCTGCTGACTTATCACCGCGAGATGTCTAGAGTGCAGACACTCAAGTGGTTGCCACTGCCATTCGTTTCGTTGTGGTATCACCACGACCACCACCACGATCACCACCACCATCATCACCACCATCACCACCACCATCACCACCACCATCGCCGTGCCCTGGCGGCGTCCTCACTGACCCTCAGTGTCTACACCGCAATCCGGAGCATTCAATCAAAGTGGGCGTTGAGCGGATCCCGTGGGAAAGGACCCGATGGACACGGCAGGGCGCGATCGGCGGGCGGCCTGCTGATGGCAGCGTCGGCGTGCTGGCCGTGCTGGCCGTGCTGGCCGTGCTCCTGATGGACCCCGCTTCCGAGAAGCGCCGCCCTCTACCTGTCGCAGCCTGCACACTGTCTGCGTCCGACTGCCCGTCCGTCCGTCCGTCCGACTGCGGTCCCTCTGCAGGGGCGGGTCCAGCGCCGCTCTGGTGGGGGTGGACAAAGCAGTCCACTTTGCCTAACGGCGGGTGGGTCGCAAAAAGTTGCATGGTGGTGCAGCTAACTTTATGACAAATTCACTGCACAGTACCTTATTCGGCAGGATGAATTGCGTTTGTAATTTGGGAAAAATATAATACCATAAATATGGTGCTGCCTTTCACCGTGAGACATTTAGAGTGCTCCTTCTGGATCCGCGCTTGTTCCTCACTGTCTGTTGGTCCGCCCGCCCGCCGCTCCGTGTGTCTTGATGTGTCTCCGAGGCGCCGTTTGATAAAGGCGGGCTGGCGGCTGGCACGGCCAAGTGCGAGGAAATGCCCGTGGCATCGAACTCTTCTACCCCCCCCCCCTTTCCCCCTTTCACCTTCTCCGTCTCTCTCTTTCCGTCGCGACGGCGAGCCGCGTACCAAAGTAGACATGGCGGGGGGCGTCGCCGGCGCTCTCTCCTCTCTCTCTCTCTCTCTTTTCCCCCCCCTCTCCCCTCTCCTC